CTTCCGGTAGGCATTTTCAGCGTCGTAATCTTCTTAATTGACATTCATGGGCTGATTCGATTAAATAAATTTCTGTCGATGTTTTACACAACGTCTCGGTGAATTATTTACTTACATTCCTCCTTTATTCATACCAACACAATTTGCAAGAACAATTTGTGGAAACAAGTATTAATGGTTTCTTACAACTTATACGAACCATCAGTTTTCAATTAATTTTTATCGTTGATTAGAGGAAAGTTCAGTTTTTAAAGTTATTGTTCAAAGCCTCGGTTACAATACGAATGTAATAAGACATTGATTTAATCAATTGAATCCTATTACTAAAATTTGATTGAATCGCACATGTATCATTGCATTATTGTATCCTACTTTGAAGAAATAATTTTAACGTTTTCTTGTGTTAATGTGTATACTTACGTAGTATTGATATGTTCACTCTAAAACAATTCGTGTCAGATAGGCAAATCTAATTTTTTTTTTATCGTGAATTCCAATTTATATTACATTCTAAATTGTTTCTTTTATTGTAGGTAATAAATAAAAAAAGCATTAGTATATAAATATAACTTCTCGATTTCCTCTGTAACACTTCGGCATTCACCTTGTCAACCAGTACAATTCCTTAGCGTCGAAGTCGTGGCTTCAAAATACCTTTCCGCTCATTTTCCTCTTGCATTTTTCAACCCTTGATTAGGAGAGAGATAAAAAAAAAAATTTGTTTTAACAATCACTAAGAAAACACGTAAAAAATTGGTGCACCCCTCACCGTATATATTTATACATACCCACGGAATGAGATCGAAAACGATTCATCATGCAAACAAACTTGGCATCACGCTTGCCGGTACTTACACGCGGAATGAAAAATATTTACGCAACACCCATCACGACTATCTAACGGGCCGTCACTGTCGGCGCACCTCTAATCGGCCAATGTTTTGATTATTAATCAACTGTGAAGAGAGCAGTGCCGGCGTATCAGCACCCCCTTATCGCTCCAACAACACTCGTCGCTCCTCGAGAGTATACATCGTTAGTTGGTCGCGCATAATAATGTGTACCGTACGCGTGTCTCTCCTTTTTCAAAGTACATGCACGTGGTATTGGTTTGCGCGAGCAAAGGGAGTAAGAGCCCTCGCAGACGGAATTTATCAACAAGCTGCCGAGTATCTTACGAGCTGTAGACTGGAAACAAACATATAGGTAGGAGGTCAATAGTTAATTAAAGATTATTCATTTATCTCGCCCTCGGGTATCTGTATATGCTTTCGGACAACTGTTTTTGAAAATTTTATCGATCGTTAGTTTCAATAAACGTAATGTTTGACGTCACTGACACTTGTTTAAAAGAAGCCCGTAGTGTCCATTTCAGGTTTTTATTGAAAAGAGATAATTATCTGTTCGCGTTCGAAGTAAGGACGAGACACACAATACGTGCAGTTGAGTGCACGCGCGCACGCCGGACACCCGATGAGGCGACGATTCGCGGAGAGTATAAGGTATACAGCCGCGTACACGATGGGGTGGGGTGGGGGGGAAGTGAGAGTCCTGTGCGTGTGAGTTTATATATACGGGGTTCCGTGCGTAATTCGACTCGCCTAATCGGATCGATACGCCTGCAGCCGCAGCCCGACATCAGCTTATTATGTATTATATGCGCGCGCTTTGCTTCGTTACATAAATACATAATATATACTTGGAGGCTCGTTCGAGTGCAGTCGCCTAAAATCAGCGAGAAAGAGAAGGAACCTAAAAGATCGAAATCGCAAGTGCGAATGGCCTTTGTTCATAATTTTTTTTTTTTTTTTTTTTTTTTCATCTGCTATTTGTGTATATTTTTTTTTCTCATTCGTATTGGACGTTCAAGGTGGCGTGTAGTGCATTAGATTACGTCCGATTATCAAAATCCAAAGCCGTGTAAGTTGAGCTTTGGTTGGCGATCAAGGGTATTGAATAATAAATTGTGTGGACGAAGACACGCAGAATTTTTTTTAATCCTTTTTTTCGCTCGATCGATTTTTTGCGCTACTAAAAATAAAATTGATAACAATATTGCAAGCTGCTCCAAGTTTTTGCTACCTGCATCTTATGGGTATGAGACTAAAACATTCTTCGGATTTACATGATTTTGTAAGATAAGAGTTTACTGAATTCCTTTTCAAAATTCATCGTTGGAATCGCGCTGCAAATTTTTTATGAATAAATTCCAAAAAACTCGTAAAATTACCCATCGATTCAATTGCCAAGATACTTGCAGTCTCTTAAAACTTACTTTAAGAATACTAGAGGAAGCTTCAAATTAAGCTACGTGTGTCCAAGTCGATTGTAATAATCTGTAACAGCACATCATTGCAATGGAAATCACCACTTTGGAGTAAGAAAGGCTTTTCTCAACTTTTGGTTGAACGAACGACAAAATCTAAAGGAATGTAAACAACTTTTGAGATCCTCGTGATTTTAAATAAAATACACATAATTAGCAACGAAATACTTAATACTGTCGTCTAAAAAATTTCGACTGACACCAACCGTCGGCACAGGGAAAGTATAGACCCATCTTTTGTACACTTACACACGAAATCCGTCACACCCTCGTATACAAGTGTACAAAAACACGCTGTATCGTCAAATGGAAAGTCGACCCTACGGGTATCGCTTGCCTCGAAGCGTCGACGTTGAAGTTGACTTTTTGAAGCGGAAACGTACCCCCGCCACTGTGAGTATTCCTATCTCCCGTCCCCTCCGAGTACTTGCCCAGATAAACTTCAACTTCAAGGATACGTTTTACGAAGAAAAGCCCATACGGATTATTGCCTTTTTCGTCAGAACGAGCACAACAAGCGGATTAATGGCAACGGCAGAGATTAAACTTCCGGATATCGAGGTAATCTTTGTGAGTCAGTCAAATTACACTCGAGTGGTTGGAGCATTAATTATGAAGTACGCGCGTTTATTGCAGTCCCGTGACTCAGTGCGGGCGAAAGAGTTTTCGAAGTCGCTTGAAGTACACTTAAGCGCTCAGCGGTGCGTGGGTATAGTTCACCGTTCGTTGCGAAGATCGAGGACCGAGGAAAACTTCAATTTGGCCTGCGGGTGGAGAGGGTCGTAAAATTTTCCTGGTTTTCCAAAACATGTTTTCCATCCAAAAGTATTATAATGTATGCCCGCCGATGGGAACTGGGAACCCTTCGGGATACTGGGAAGTGCAACAACATATGTATATATACCCGCAATGACGACAGAACGCCCCGAAGACGGACTATATTGGCTGCCTCACGGTACACCACGGCACTCTGCGAGATTTCGACCGGATACGGTGTATGTGTAAGTTATATATATATATGTTGCACACTCCACACCGGGTCCTTATCGGCCGTCCTTCCCTCGTCTACGCGCGTGCCCAAGTTATTTAGGGGCGATTGCAAACTTCCATACAAATCGGTTCCTTTAGACTCTCCGCGAGGGATCGCCGCATCGTAAGTACTCCGCGCCGTATTACACTTACTCGCGCAATATATCATTCTTTCGTCGCTGAAAGATCGCGGCCGGTTTTTGAGCGACGTGCATAATCACCGTCACTTGTTCCCGGAAAGTCGTGCGAGAGCTTTTAAAAAACGATAATTCAGCCGGACGATCCAACGCGCCCATAAATTTTATCTCGGCCTCAGCATCCGAAAGAGTAGGGGTCCGTCGTTTAAAAAATTATCAGCCGAAGCAATAGGAAAACCTATGCTTTGAGCCCAAGGCCAAGTTTGGCCGGCTCCCCCGGTGCCAAAGCCTATACGTGTATACGTTGCACCCATCCCCCTCTGTACTTCAACCCTGTTACCGCATCCCTCGAGCGTCGCAGGCAGGGAATAAAACCATTGACCTGCAAGGGTGTAGCGACGTCGCGCTGATAGACAGCCGAATGTACGCGCGACACGGCTCCAGAGTCCGTCGGACGGGCGCTGCGCCATTACTCACCCGCAGCGGTGTGTAGGCTGAAAACCATTCCAAGTTCGAAGCCGCTCGGCACACGTTCGCGACCCAATTCACCTCTCTTTCTCTGCTGTGCACGCCGGCATCGACCCTCCCTCTTGATTCTCTTTCTCCCTTTGCCTGCCACCACCTATATACCCGGCGTATATACCGTACAGCTGCGATCAGCTGAGTAGTTTTGCTCTCCGATGTATCTCTCTCTTTCTCTCTGCAGCCTATATGCGAAGTGCACTCCTAGTGTTGTATACTGTTTGCATTTGCATTTTTTGTTTTTTCTTCGATTATTGGATCACCATCCATGCCCATCCGTATCGGTTTCACGTTGACTCTTGAGATGATAATGAACGCAAAGAGATAATTCTGTCAAATGACTATGATGACGATGGGGGATGAAAAAAAGAAAAAAAGTAAAATAAACAAAAATTGATTTAAACAACGTACATCATGTACTAGCGAGACAATTGGCCGATGAGGGAGTAAAAAAAAAGGTCCGCAGGAGGGTGCTCACCGTCGCTCGCTCCAATGAGTATATATGCGCGAAGGAGCGTCGAGCTGGAGGTGGAAAACACGTGTGCGACCGGGGCCCGATGCGGCGGGAGCGGAGCAAGCCGGCAGGCCAGTCAAGAGAGCGGCGAAGCAACCTCGTCGCCGGAGCGTGCACACATATAGGCACCACCTCGTCCGCGCCGTGGCTCCCGCGGAGTAGGGATACAGCCCCGTGTAGAGCGAGGGCCAAGCCCGACGAGGACGGACGAACGAGCCGGTAGACGGCGCCAGGGTAGAGCTCGCGCGCAACCCTGACCGCGCGAGCGAGGGAGACGGGAAGCTCGTGGCAAGCTAGCCGAGATGGCGGAGGCCCATGATTAGCCGGCCGGCCGCCGCGGCGCCAGGGTCGGTGGGCGGGCCTCGAGGGTATTGGCCCGGCCGCCGTAGGGGGCGTTTCAGCCGCGCCTCCCACTCCCGAGCCCGGTGGCCCGCTCTGATTGACAGTTGGCGAACGACTGCGGACGGCGCAGGATCCTTTTCGATCGCTCGCTCGGTTTTCAAGAGAAAACGCACGGGGCACCCTCGTCGTCGACGTCGCGTACCGGGGCTCGTGGTGGCTCTCCCGTTGCTGGTTTTCTCACTTTTTTCCCCCCCCCCCGCCCGAGGCTTAAAAAACTGCGCGCGCCGTGTGCAATATCATCGTTGTTACATTGTTGTTACGCCGTTTAAGTTGTTGTTTTTATTGTTATTGTTGTTGTTGTTGTTGTTGTTGTTGTTCTGTTGAGTTGCGTTATTACATTGGTGTTTGTAGGCACTTGGGCCGTGTGTCGACGAGCCGCGGATGTGGCCACCGGCGCGCACTTGTGTTACCGATCTCCCGTGTCGTTATCGGTAAGGAATTGATGGTTCGCGTTGATACCGATCTCGCCGATTTCCACTACCGAGTCCTGCTCGAGCTTCGCCACACTTGCCACGCTAAAAAGCGGAGTTGGTAACCAACTCGTCACTCAGTGTGACACTCTGTCATTCGCACCCGCATTTTGATCTGCGTCAACAGCCATACCAAAAGTGTACAGCGTTGAGAAACATTGAAAGTATAGTATCCAGCGCAAGCGGGCGCGATAACCAGGAAACAGAGAAGATTACTACAATACGTAGACACGTATGCTAATGTATACGAAGCAATGTGCGATGATAAGCCGAGCAACCGGGCAGTTGTTGAGTAAGCACGTGTCTCGTCAAGCAGACTAGGTATGCGAGTCCTGCAGGCACACCACTGAGAGGACAATCAACGCCAGGACAAGTGGAATTCGAGACGATGATGACGAGGATGATGAGGCACGAGTCGTGTACCACGGCTACCTGGCGAGTCGCCGGCGGCGTCCCTCTCTACTGACGCATAGCAGGATCGGTAGTTTGCCGTCCCCGACGGACACCGCGGCCACTCTCCCGTGCCTCTCGTGCGTCGGCCGAGCACATCCTCCTCGAGTTCGTACACCAGTTACGATTGCGCGTCGACGCGAGTGCTTTTTTTGTTGTTGAAATAAATCAGTGACGTTCGAAACGGAGACGCGTCGCGGCGTCTCTTATCGCGAAGGTGCTACGCAATATTCGTACCGATATACAAGTATAATACTATTGAGCCGTGCGAAGTAGCTCAATAGAGGGTGTTGTTGTTTCGCGAAGTGACCGGGAGTTGGGCGTTACAGGGGCCGGAAGAGCGCCCAGTTGTCATCTTAACCCGGTGAAAATACAGCCGCTACGGTGGCTCAACACGCAGAGTTCCCCGGCACGGCCAGGGGGTTCATGGCTCAGCCCAGGGGGGTAGGTGTCCTCACATATATACACATCTTATATACTCTCTCTTATTTGTTTAAAGTACCTACTCATCTTCGTTGTAGATTTCTCCCCCCCCCCGCAATAAGAATGAAATCATTCGATAGGGGGACCCACGACTCTTTGCGATAGTATATAGAGTTGTATGTATAACGTGTGGGAACGGAGTTCTCGGTATACAGAGACGCGACTGTCGTCTGCCGTCGGATCGGTACACTCTTACGTACCGATGGGTGTGTCGCGTACTACCGCGTTCATCTCAAATTGTGCTTCATTTTCGGTGATTTTGCGATCACTTTGGACTGAAGTTGACGGTGAACTCGTTCGTTTGAATATTGCCAATTTTGAGGATTCGAGCGAGTGTTGAGAGTGCGGTTGTTGATCGGTTTGAGATTAACTCCCAGTGCTGCGTGTTATGAGAAATGTGGATCGACTTTGTTGTCCGGTAAATATACCTAACGATTTTCTACCGGTCGAACGGTTCAAGAGGTACTTTTAAACCTCACGAGCATCACCAAATTCGTGATTGTATCGTATGGCCAGGCCGATTCGACTGATACAGTATCACGTATCTTGTATATTTCTTGAGGTACACACAAGTTACGTAAGGAACTCGTGACATGATTTTAACTCGACTGAAATGTATTATACCATCAGTATGATTGTAATTACGGAGTTTTATTACACGACAAATGACGTTGGCAGTGTTTGTAAGTGTAATGGGTAAAGATGAAATTTTTGTGGAGTGAAATCGTGGCACTTGGAAGGATCGGTAAACGTTGGATTTTTATTGAAAAATAAGAAAGAAGTCATCGTTCAGTCGTGAATTACCAAGTTTCATTGAACTCGAACGGCACGGTGTCTTTTTTTTTTCTCCTTCTCTCTCCCCCGAGTATTACTTACGAGATAAAACGCTATCGTACAACGACTGGCAGCACTATAAAACGATTCTATACGGACAGACCAACGTAGCATACACCGATTAACAGCTCCATCACTGCGTATTACGTGTATGGGCGAATGCCTTCTTGTTTATAAAAGAAAGGAAAATGATAAACGCGTACAAAGTTTCTTCTTTTGCAGTGTCGATAATCTCGTGCAGCCCGGGCTGACTCTTTTGTCCCCGTTTATCAACGAAAATGACGATTTATCGCGTTGCACCGCTGCCTCTTGCGCGAGTGTCTTCTTTCCTCCTTTCTTTTTCCCAGCAGTGTCGTCGACCTCGTCTCGATCACCACCCGGCGCTCGATCTCCTCGTTTGTTACACAAAAAGTGAATCGACGGAAGGTAAACAGAGTCCGACCTTTTTTTTTTGTCTCCCAAAAGGCGTGCAACTCGAGAGGCGCGATCGGTTGAGAGTCGGAATAACGAGCGGAGCGTGAAATTACCGCGGGCATCCCAACTCCAACGTGAAATTCAATAAGTAGGTACGTCTATACTTCTCGTAGCTTTTGGAGGAGGGAAGGAAAAAAAAAAAAAAAAAAAAATGATCTTGCTCTCGTCAAAGAGGCGCGGATATAAGTGTTTTAGATGCGTTCGCGGAACCGATCCCCGGCCCCGATGTCTCACGCGATCCGCGAGAGGGAAAGAGAGCGAGTGACAAGAATTTCAAGAATCACTTAACCCTCCTGCGGCCGCGCAAAACTAGTCGTTTCACCGCTTTTCTCTCTCTCTCTCTTTCTCATACATAGGTATAATATAACGTGTATTATACTGGTACACCCAAGAGACGTAGCGGGCAACCATACATGTTACAATACTCGTGTAGGAGAGGAGGGAAACGGCGATTCGTGATTTGTTCCGCGACGTGGAATGCTCGCGTTCCGCGAAGGAGCGGAATTAACGATTCGAAATCTTTTTCGAGTGAGAAAGACGCATTACACGCGCGGCTCTCCTCTCGTTCTCTTGCACCGTCGCTCGGGAAAAGCACACACGCGTACAAAAGGGAAGAGATATGTGCCACTGTATACGCGCTCCTTACAAGTCGTTTTACCGAGAAAAGAGACTCTCTTGCACTCGTGACGATTCTATTTTTGATGCGTCCCTCTAATGCTCTTTTTTCCCCTGTTGCAGCTGTTGCTGCTTCATATTATATACATGTATGTGTGTGTGTATATTATAAAGTACTGCGCCTCCGTCTCTCCCGCACGGCTCGTTGCGAGCGTAATTGACGGAGAATCCAGTCTTTTCGAACTTTCGTTAAATTGAGTCCTTCGTCGTTGTGTTGTTGCGTATCTTCTTCTGCGGGTGATGCCTATTTCGTTAGAAATCGTTAGCTCCGATGCCGATTTATTCCATCAGTGTGTCATTTGTGCGCGTAATTTTTTTTTTTTTTCGCTAATGATTTCTCTCGTGCGCCGAGGGATGTGTACTTACTTATTACCTTGTCCGGGGCGCTTGGCACTCGACGAAAGTCAAATGACAGGGTGTCCCTCTCTCGTTTATCGCGATATTTATGATTGCGGGGGTCGTGCCGTGTACTTTAAAAACACTAACAGTTTGGAGAAAACGATGGCATTTTCCGTGTCGTTGATTTTTTTTTTTTTTTTTTTTTTTTTTTTATGTCTTTTCGCAGTGAAAAAATCCGCGACTCAATTAATTCGTCAGCTCGGAGTACCTGCACGTGCGTGTGATTTATTAAAAAATACCACACTGCCACGGGAAAAATCAATAAAGTTGGCGCGGGAAATCAAATTGTTACCATTAAATTAATAATACACGAGTACTGTGCCGGAGTTGAGCGATTGCAGTCGGAGGGAGGGAAAGCGTGGCCTATACCTATGCAACTGCGGCATTATTTATCGGCCAATAAATTATAAACGGGCGAGCACTCGATAATTTGCGGTAGCATCGTACTTTACCGCGTCTTGCACACATTTGTGAGATCAATAAGTCCCCGTGGTACCCGTGCATCACCCGTTCACTCACTTTGATATCTGATTTTCGATTTTTAAGCATATACTTTACACAATAAACTCGTGTACAGTTTTTACAATATTATAGAAAACGTAGCGAGTGGTGCGTGAAACACGAATCCAATGTAAAATCCTGCATTTATTGTACGCTCGGCGAGGCTCGAAAGGTATACACGGCTCATCGTCGATCGCGACGACGACACTTGTATACCATATGTCTCTCCGTTGGTCTATAGTACGCGTGTGCGTGTTATCTTTCTCTCTTCGATCCTCTTCTCTTTTTTGGCCGCGGCGTGTGAATGACGTTTCGATTCGGATAAGAGGAGCGCGAAAGTGCGATGCGATGTCCGTGTGTATCGCGGAGCGCCGATAAAAGACAGAATTTAAATAAAGTTGCTTTATCGCGATCGGTGATAAGGGTCTCTATGATCGTCTCTCTCTCTCTCTCCCTCGCTCTGCTTCTCTTTTCTCTTCGCCTGTTTTTGTGACTCAGCCTTTTTTTTTTTTTTTTCATACCTGATGTGTTTGTCTGATTGTTTTCGTCGGACTTTCGGCTCTTTTTGAGCGATAAGGCGCGCGGTGCAACGTTAAAAGATGTCGTGCTGAAGACAATTTTTCCAAGCGATCTGAGGTGCGTTTACCATTGTTCGGCGATTTCTCGGGCTGGAAGTACCAAATCCTCGGTGAGTTACCGGTTTTCAAAAATAAACTTGTACAGAGTAGGGAAAAAAGTCCCAAGCGATACAAATCTTTTTCAATGCTGTACCCCCAACGTAATAACAAAAATCACTTTACTCCACCGGCTCTCTCTCTCTCTCTCTTCCATTTAGTTTCTCCGTGTGTACGCGCATTCGTCAGCATCAATTGACCTCTCAATCGGACGTTTCTCCCTCGGCTCTTCCATCCTCTCTTTTTCTCGCGTTCTCTATCTCTCTTATCCACACGTATACGATATAATATACTGTTCTCATTGGAATCGCCGAATACAAGCCTGTGGAGTGCGTGTATCGTGCGCAGCAAAGTTTCCGAAAGAGGCTTGTCCGGCGGTGGAAGAGAGAGACGCGAAAAAAAAAAGGGTGATCAGCTCCGACCGGGCGACTGCATAATAATATTCGCTCGTTCTCCCGATAACTCGCCTCGGCAAGGTCGACGTACTCTCTGGTATAGGCCGCCGCTATGAACAGTGCAGTGCTCTCTCTCTCCGTGAACTTTGTTTTTTCGATTCCATGTCGGGTACTTAACATCTCGGTGCATCCGAGCACGAGCAATTTTTTCGACCGAACATGCTTGTCCGTCTGAGTTTGCATTTTTTAAGAACTGGTTCGGCCGAGTCGACCTGTGTTGGAATTTGTTATTTTTCACGATGAGGTATTTTTGGGGAAGAGATTTTTTTTTTTTTTTTATGTATTGACTCTCGCTGGGTGTAATTGATAGCGAGTTGGCTCGGCACTGTGTTTCCTCGCACCCTCCGCGGTAATAAATATGCCGTATAAACACTTGACACGCGCACACATTCATAAAAATGTTGGATGTACAAGTGTGGGATGTTTTTGTTTTTTTTTTCTTCGTCAGATTCGGGTCTGCATCGATTGTCGGGGTGATGTGGATTGAACGTGTTTTTTTTTACGTGTAAATGATTACTTTTTTAAAAAAGTTTAATTTGGGTAGATTCAATATTTATTCCATCGGCCTACAAGGAAAAAATTCCGTTCAATAAACGCGCCGAGTGAGAATCAAGTGTCAGGTTTAATTTTACAATTTTATCAGTAATCAAATACAACTGAGTGATGAGAAAAAATTATTTTGGATGTATTAATGAACGCGAAAACCCGTCAATTGAAAAGTAAGTTAAAATTACTTGTAAAAACATAAATAAAGCTATTACCTGATTGTAATAGAACTAAATTTTCGAATAACTGTCTCTTAACGTTTAAATTTCTTTACGTCACAATCGTACTCAATACAACCTTTGTTCTCCAACATCTGTCAGATTGTGTTATCATTGGAGTAAATCCTTTCAATTCGACAGGTGAACAAACTTTGCTCGCCCGAAAAACTGTCAAACAAGTGCTTACATTTGCCTTAATTCGATATTAGTTATCTTCTGAACCAACAGTGCAAGCACTATGTTTTTCTCGAGTTTTTCTTCTCTCGCGCTCATTAATATGTATGCGAGTCTGCTTTTTTCCATTCAACGTTGAAAGTTCTTTTAAAAACATTTGGCAACAATAGAACTTTTTTTAAATTCACGAGATAATTCTAACGCAATTGAGTCATCTCATACATTTCTGTGCATCCATGAAATACAATTATTCAATAGCCAAGTACGAAAAAGAATTTGTTTGAAATTCTTAAATACCAATCACACTTGAAAAGTGAATGATAAAAAATATTTACTAAAACAATATCTCAGAAATGTATTTCATAAACGTGTCGTCTCAAAAAAATGTTATTTAAATCGCATCATTTCCACCGTTTGTTTTGAATAAGAGATTTATATTCGAAATTGACGTCCAAACAACGCTTTATTTATGGGAGAAATTCGAAAAAAAAGAATTAATAAACAAATAAATAAATAAAAATATAAAGTCAAAAACAAAAAACTGCTAAATTAATTAAGTTTTATTTTTAGTTTCATCACAAAACAAAAGCCTCAAAATAAATAAAAACAAATCATGTTATTTAAAAATGACTTTTGAAATAATAAGGATGCTCAGTATTAAAAAATTGTTCCCACCAAACAGTCCTTTTGCGTTATTTACATTTCCATAACATTATAGGTATAATTGATACACAGTGAGGACAAAAACCCTAAAAAAAATAAAGGACCTAAGTCCTGCTCTATTTTCCGCAACAATTTCCCGCCAGATAAAACTCGACGTTATTTGTGCTAGACGCTTATCGCAATCGAGATCAATATGTATATATATTTTTTTCACATTCCTGCTTTTCCTCCGCGTCAAGGCGTCTCGTCGAATTTCCCCTGTAATTGAACACGACTCGCGTCCCGTGCAACCCCCTTCGGCGTCACTGTCGAGATTCATCTCCGCGTCTCTTCGCTGCATACGTTAAGCTACACAAGATCAAGCGAGTCGGAGCCGCGGCTCGCGCTCCTTTTATGACGATAAATCGCGATCACCGGCTCGGGCTTGCAAATTAGCCGCGCGCACCGCTGTAATTAGCGCTCGCTAGTCCTCCTCTGGCGAGGGGAGAGATTTTGCCGCGGTGACATCTTCATGAAAGACCTCGATCATCTCTCGGTGCTATGGATCGCGGAAGCGCGTGATTTTTTCCGCGGGAAAGGATACCACACCGCGAACGGGCAGTGAACGAGTCCTCGAGTGGGTAGCCGAATGGATCGGGCATGATCGCTCAATTTCTATCGCTTGTACGAGCGAAGGCTGGAGTATTTGTATCTTACAGGCGTTCAGTGGAGGGGCTCTGCTTGGGCACAAGTGCCGGCTACTTTGAATTCAATGGAGCCGCGGCACACGCGCTTTTCGTCCTTGGCTCTATTTCTTTTATCTGCATGTACTATACTCTCGGCTCTATTAGCTATTGATTAATAGTACTTACGAATATTGGGATCATTGAAATTTTCGATGCCGGCCAACGCGTATAGAGGATCGTTAAACTAAGTACACCAAGTGATTCATCCAGCTTTTACGATTACCAACGTGATTTCGTAAAAAGTACGAGGAAAACTTGGCATTGTTGTTGCGCTCCGGGTAGTAAAATTTTGCACCAAAGTGCTTTTCGTATCGCGAAATCGGCTAATTAGTTGCGAAATTACATGCCACGAGAGTCCAATCGATGCATCCGCCTCGAATAACTTAGTGATACCTCAAAGTGCCAATCATCATTTCTCTCCCCTGGAAATGCGTTCCATAAAAAATGTTGGGGGAGAATCTTTTGAAACCGAAATTGTAAATCTTATCTCGAAGTAACCATTACAACGTGACGCAACGTATAAACAAAGTGTACGGTAACAGAGTGTAGTCTGAACAATAAGGGGGGTAAAAAAAGTGTAAATATTTTATTGCCGCGTCTGTGTATGCTCGTCATTGCAAAAAAATTGCGTGCCAAGTGCAAGCGGTTCTCACACGTATATGCGTTCGCTACACCTACACTTAACAATTATTCGTTTGTACCGACGTCGGTGGCAATTAAAAAACATTGCTCGCATTGCTGGTACATAGAAATTCTTGGCTATAAATACCACCTTCGTCCCACAAGTATTAGCAGATAGCCGTAGAGCAATGAATAATTTTATCACCTTTGGTTGCTTGCTTGCTTATTATCGGGCCACAAAGTAGGAAGGTACAGGTGTTTATTCGTCTATAATTTTTTTTTTCCTTCCTTTCTTTTTTTTTTTTTTTTACTATTGACCGAAGCAATCGAAGGAGCAATAGTTACAAGTGACGCACTGACCGATATAATTTGGGGACACGCACTCGCAACGCAAGTTGTAAATTTTCAGCGTCGAGTTGTACCTATACGAAATTCCCTGCTGTATTTCTTTACGTAATCGCGTACTTCACGAGTCGCGAGGGGACGATAACGTGGTTGACGAGTAGTGTTCTGTGCCAGCCTAGCTATGGCTAGTTTCGTGTTGTACTTTTTTTTTTTTTTTTTTTTTTTTTTTTTTTTTTTTCTAACGTTACGGAAAACCAAAGGAAACGTTACTCCAGAAGTGATTTTCGGGACAGAATTTTTTATTATTTGTTTTATTTTATTTTCATTTCGTTTTTTTCTTTTTTTTAACACAAAAGGTAAATTTTTCATGAATGGCTTTTGTTCGTTCAGTTGTTTTAACTGAATTTATGGAGCGATTAACACACTTAAAAAAATAGGTAACGAAGTTAATTGTATGGTATTGACGGAGCTTAAACTAAACGAGTAACTATATTAATTTAATTTACAGGAAAAATCAATGACAATGTAAATTCAAAGTATAAATCAGTTAAAGTTCACTGATTCTTAATATTATCATAATACAGTAATACTGTTTAGAAAAAATCATTAACATTTTTTCTTTATCTGTAAAGCGATGCAAATAATATTTTTAATGTATACGTAGAATTGTTAAATGGGATTTATTTGAAATAATGATAAAAAAAATATATTATTCACAATTCTTAAATATATAATAGAAATTTATTGAATACTCTATAAATATTAATAAGACTATACTTCGTCAATGATAATATTCATTGATCAATTGAAAATTGGTCAGCAAATAATCACCATCAAAAGTCGAATTTTACTATTTTTACTTGTGAATATCTACTAAAAAATGACTAAAATTTGTTTTTTGGTAATATACAGCTAAGACCGCGGTCTGCGTGAATTCCAATTTTCGGTAATAAAAAAAAATTTTCGCCGACTTGTACCCTACGCACTTCCGAACCGATCTGCCAACTGCTTAAATATCCAATGCCAACGCAAATATTTGCCAACTCGTGAGCGATACGATCAATACCCTGTACGAGATGGAAGACTTTTCGCGCAGGCAACACGAAAATTATGAAATATGAATGAAAAATGCAAACAAAGCCCGGCGTGAATAGAGAAAGTCTTATTAAAATCGTCTCGAGTTTCACAAGCGAGCGCGTACGAACTCTGACGAGGTGCGCGAAAATCAAATGAATGATTTATACGCGAATTAATTAAAAATTCGCTAAAAAAAAAAATAAATAAACGAGACGTACATACAAGACCGATCGTAACCGTATGTATGTATAATACTCTGTCTTTTCGGCAAAAGGTAAAAATCCCAATGAGAATAATTAAATATGCATGAGCCCGACCCGACGGGCGTCACGTAAGGGCTCGCTGTGTACGATCGACTTTGCCCCGAGTATGACGATCGCGAGTTGGCAAAGTTGGCTCGTCTCGTCCCTTTCTCTCCGTCTCGTACACGGACGAGTTGGCAGTCGACGACATAAACTTGAACTCGCTCGTTCGATGCTGCGCCAATACATATATATAGCGATAGGTGGGTGCACATTGCACAAGGATAATATTGTATCGACTATCCGCTGCAGGCGGTACACTCTGCGCCTGCGCTCGAGGACATAGCGCACCGGCAAGTCCTGGCTATATGCACAGGTATTATGTGCATGCATGGGTGTCGTTACCATCGCCCTTGCCTCCTGCTGCCACGCAGCTGTGGCTTCCCGTACGTCGCGTCGCGTTTGTAAACTCGATACACTCGATCCTCCTCGGCAACGCGTATATTATGTAGTACAGACACTCGAGAACTCCCTTGATTTTCAAACACCTATATACTTTGGCTGTAGCTATGTCGATATCGATGCACAGATCGGCCATTAGTTCATTTATTTATACCTTGCCATTTTTCTGGCACAAGGAAAAATTACTTATCTGTGTTTTCCCGAGCGTTTAAAACGCAGTTTTCCACCAAAGTGGTCTGTTATCGCCGTGTGTTGGCTAATTACGCGCTGTGAAGAAGAAAAAAAAAAAAAAAAAAAATTAAGTGCATAATTTGTAGCTCATAGAAACGTCAAAGAGGCATTTTTGTCGATGTAAGTGTTACTTTTATTACCCTCACACGAGTGTTTTTGCCACTCTGTGCAACTAATGACAGTTGTTTGAAAAAATCACCTTTGTACTTTTAGATGTTCATAAGAGCCCCACAGCCACGTATTTCATAACAAAGTCATGGATGAAAAAAAAAAAAAAAAAAAAAAAATAGATAAAGTAACGAAAATTTGATGTTTTTACAGTACGACGATGGGCTGCACGGGGGCTACGGAATCGAGGGCGGCGGTGGTGCCGGCCTCTACGACCCACACGGCGCCCGCAGCGTGCCGGGTCTCCACCACAGTCCGCACATCGGTACCATGGGCCCAAGCCATCCGCAGTACCCGCCACAGCCGCCCCAGGTGCTCGCACCGGTCGGGGCTTCGGTGGTCGTGCCCGAGGCCCATCTCAAACGCGACAAGGACGCTATTTACGGGTAAGTCTTGTTTGTTCGTTTTTTATCTATTGTAGTCAACCGATACCGATTCATAGTTTTCGTATCGGCACTCTTGTTATCTTTTTTTTTTAAAGCGCGTAAAAAATTAAATTTTTTCCTTTCGTGGGTCAAATGGGATTTGTACAGCTAATTCCATCATTAGCATGTCCTTACCGATAAAATTCTCCTACAGTTTGTACAAACCCAAACAAGGCAAAGTATTTTATACGAGTTGATTTATTTTAAATAAAAATAAAAAAAGGCCACTTTAAAATCCAACGTTTTTCATCTTTCCATCCACGCGGTTATCGCGATCCATAAATTGCAAAACAATAAACTCGTTTTCCATCTACTAACGACACCTGAACGGCGCACACACGTCTTTATAATAATAGCGATACACCTCATTACAACCTCGAAAGCCCGTATATCTCGGCGTTGAATCAAAGTCCAAAGTTCTTGTGTCTATATATATAAAAAAAGCAAGTTATTGGGTCACAATACACAGCCCATCGATGATCGAAACGCATCGAACGACGTAATTATACGGCCGAATCTTTCTCGAGATATTTCAATTACGAGCGCAAGATACGCGAGCCCCTTATACATCATAATGTGCAATGCTTACACTCTGCGGAATTCCCGTGAACCGTGCGATTTTTGTGCACCGCGCAGCTGTAAAAAGAAGAGGTGGTGGTCGGGGTCGTCGCCTCGGTGATTTATCGCGCGAAAGAGACGGCCACTCGATTTCTGGCACGATCCCCGGGAAGGAACGGGAGCTTATTATTTCGCGGGGATGTACCCTGTAATTTGTCCATCTCGTCGTACGGCCCGATATCCGAACTTCCTGGAACGCCCGGGATATCTGAGCCACGTATATATATACTCTCGGTTGGTCTCCCCCCACTGTTTACCAATTTTTCGCTCCCGCTTCCACCATCGCACGCGGCCTACCAGCTCTCCTGTTCTGGAACACTTGATCTATGTAGATGAGATCGTTTTTATGTAGCACATACCTATGTAAAAAAACAACTCGTTAATTGCCTCGGTGACTGTTAACAGATCGGAGAACCCGTTTAGCCGTGCTTTTCCAGCCCAGGTGGAGTGACGATTTTTAATAACGTTGTCGCGAATGTAGCGACCGCAGCTTGTTTTGATATCACCGGCAGGCCGCTGCTACCGATCTCGCATTGAGATGTTTGAACTTTTTAACGAGCGTTATTGATTTATTCACTTATCAGAAGCCACTTGGGCGGCAAAAAGCTCCGCAAATTAATACATCGCACCTGCGACTTTGTAATAAACACGTACTCTAAAACGTACGACAATCAAATCGCCCTCCTCCCTTAGCCCCGAGATCCAATTAAGAGTGTTTTGATTTAAAGTAAAAGAAAGAGGAAAAATAGATTTACAGCGTTGTTTCCCGTGCATTGTATGCGCGTACGCATAGCGTATACGTACACCTGAATGGTCTTACGCAAACGAGCGCCAATATTGCAAATCACTGTCAGCCACCGACTCGGAGGAATATATATGTAATCCTTGGAGGAGCACCCTCGTGGCTCCTTTGGTTATGGAGCGCGAGCAGGTGCGCCCGATCGTATATTATAAAAACGCTGTTTCCCTCTCGCGTTCTGAATTTCAAGCGATTCCCGTAAAGCCGCGAAGTCGTACAGCCGCAGCTCCGTGTAGCAATCGGCACTGCCGATCTGCGAAATCGCGCATCGTCGTCGTCTCCGTAGCGTTGCGTCTATTCAAATTTTTTTTTCCCCCTTCATTTTAATTGAATTCGTTGCAAGCGCGGGTACTCCTGTATACACGTGGCTCAGAATTGCTTCACCATCCAAGATCATCCCCCTTCCCCCAATTAAGATTGATTTGAAACTAAAAACGAAATCGAGTTTTCCTGCGCCGAAGGTGCTCACTTGATGTATACACCACTCGGTTCTTCGTCGCCGAAGGTGAGTCCCGCGGGCCGGTTCTTTCACGAAGATAGGTTAGATTAGATTAGATTAGATTAATTCTTTATTCAAACCTTGTGGTATAACCACGTATGGTTCTCAAACAATTTACAGTTAATTAATAGAGTAATAAGATACATAACAATTTATCAACATAATTAATAACAATGGAATAAGAATACCTCGAAGAATACAGTGAAGATGATAAAAGTAATAGTTCGTAGAATACATATAATTAGAATTGACAAAATAATTAATAAAATTGGTAATAGTAACAATCGTATAATTTGGCAATAAATAAATTTAACGTTATTGATTACTATTATTTAAGTGGCGTCAATTTTGAGAATTATTCATGCCATTAACGAGGGCCTTCAATTCATTATCACATCGAATTGGGATCAATGCTGAATCTTTTGTTTTACGCATACAAACCGTTAAATTTTTCATTACAGGTAAATAGTAATTAATAGATTTGTGAACCTTAATAGCGTTACGCCATAGATTATAAACAGGCTGAGGGAGTAATGGTCGTAGATATATCGCTGTATCACCTCCATTGCCGAAGAGAGTAGAAGATTTAGATTTTGAAAGTTTATTAGAATTTTCTAATATTTGATCTCGAATGTCCAGTGAGTTCATGCGAACGTAAACGGCGTGAGATAATGGTCTTTGATTGCTCTGATTAGATTGTACTTTCGGTGCCCAATCGCGTGTACGTGTAACATAACTAATAAATTCTTGACAGCCTATTGCTTGAAAAACGCTTTTGATGATATCTTGATTACTAAGGTTGATTGATGAAGGGATGTTAGTGATAATTAATTCGGCAGTTTCCTTGTATAAAGAGGCATCAGAGATCGCATTATATTTTGCATTGGCAGAAATTAATTCGTCATTAATCTTGGCTACTTGTGTTTAAGGTAGTTTCATGATTATCGATACGTGTATTGACTAACAACAATGACTGACGGAATTCTGTCATATTATCACGAAACTCCCTCATATCATTATGAAATTGTTTCATGTCATCTCGAAGTTTTATCATATCGCCATGATTTTCTTTCCGGAAATCCTCGAAATTTTTGACAAGACTTCGAAGAAGCATCATGCCCGAATTATTTTCTTGATCACCGTTATCGCTCATACTGCTCAATAAATACACGAAATGCGGACGAGAGAGAAAAAGTCTAGGGGCCTTAGCTGCCGAGGGAAAGGAATAACTATTGTCAAGTATGTCGATTGGGATTGAACGCTTCAAGCTTTTCTTGTGAGGAAGATTTGTGTGGTGGATTGTTAGATTACAATTTTGTGAATGATGCTGTGAGATAAAATTGGGGGGACTGGGACGTAGGGGTATTAAAGAGCAGCAGTGAAAGACATTAGATGCAGAATTTGAAAACCAGCTGGGGTCAATACACCTTCTATGATAAGGCTTACAGCAAATAGAACAAATAAGGCGTTCGTTTTGCCCAATTGTAAAAGTAGCGCGACGACAGACTAGACACGATTTGCGCGGATATTTACGCATAATATTACACAACGCTTAAAATTGGACATTAGGAAAAGTTTGTAGTAGTACATGAAAGTTATAAACACTTATTAATATCTTAAAATATAACGGTCAAGACGTATGTAAAAGTAAACAACATATAGTAAGCTATGAAAGAGTGTGTATACAAATTAAATGGTAGGGACAATACATAATATGAAACGTTGGCCTTGAGCCAAGCGAAAATGAACAGAGACAGGTGATAATCGGTATATCAAGAATTAAGAAAGAATACTAAGAAAAATGCTGATAAGGTAGTGAAAAATGGAGGATATGTTGATAAAATGAGAATAAATATAGAGAAATGGATACAGTGAAGTGATTTAAAACAATGAGTAAATGAAATGCTTAAATAATATTACACTAAATTATGAACTAAGGCCAAGGTTATTATTATAGTTAAGTTTGTGCACAGTCACTGGTTTTCACTCAGAGAAACACTCACTAATTTTGGTATGAGACGCAGGCGAATAGTAGTGGTCCAGCAAAGTGGTGCAGATCAAATAATTCCAGCGCTGCCAGAATTATAACATGAAAGTTTGCAGCCTGAAGTAGTGCAGCAATCCGAAGTTTGAAAAGCCAACGTGGATGAATTGCAATGATTTAAATAACAGGCATCCACAGACTCCCTAGCTCAAAAGGAGAGCGCCCGTGTTTTATGCTCTCAGAAGCTAGAGCCAACAGGAGTCCGAATGCGAGCAAAAATTGAGAAAACCTCATAGAGGTTTGACGAAGAAATTAGCAAAGTCGGTATAGCGAAGAGTTGAGTATTAGCAATTAATAAACACGTCTACTCTGGCTCACCTTACGATAGGCGATAAGCCGCGCCGTGCACCACACTACGTAAATATATGCAGCACTGCGCGGTTTCCCTCCTAATCGCGGCTAATCTATACCCGCGGCGCCAACATTCGACCAACCGGCTCACCTTCTCAATCTCTCCTTTTTCGTCCTCCATCAGAGACAAGGGATGATAGATGTTTTCGCTTTTACTCGCGTGTTACGAGAATAAACACGTGATGCTGTTCCTCGTGCTCCCTATTTTTGGAGCACGCGCGTGATAGGGACGGAGTTATGGGTTCGGAGGTCCTCATTTGATAGCTTTTAAAAAATTTGGGGTGGACATTTTTGAAAATTGATATCTCGAAGGGTCGCTGGGATCAATTTAAACCGTGTCAACGGGTACTTGTGTGCGCAGCTTGTTTGCGAGGAAAATAAAAAATACCCACGTCCGGAACTAACATTCGGCGCTCGGTAAGCATACCTTATACGTCACAAGCCAAGCGAAAACCACAAAACCGCAGCCCTCGTCGGAACGACGTTTCAAGTGTTCGGACGCGCGCCCAAGAGCACACACGGTGTATTTATACTTTTTTTTTTTTTTTAATGGCAGTATAGCACTCGTGTGATGTACAGTGGGTGTATATATGTATGTATACCCACCGCCGGGCCAATCGTATATATCATATGATTACCTTTACGCGTTACACCATCAGTCGCTCACGGCCGTCATGCCCGACACCTATACCTACACGCGCGGAGGGTCGTTCACCAGTCATTTGTCAAAGCTCTCCCGCTTGTCTGTCCGCCCGCCTTCCCCGTTGTCATTGTTGCGCTTAACTCCTCCTCCTGCCGTCATACCGATTTTACGCGGAATCCAGATCGCGTGCGCCACGGAAATCGAGTCTAACGTAACTGCAATTTGGAAATTACGGGGATATGCACGGGTTTAGGGAGTAATGGCTCTGGAGCGTTTTTTTTCGAAATTTTCGGTCCGTCTTAGAGTCTTTGTTCTTACAAATTGATTTTAGTTGAATACGACAGAGGAACTTTGAGCGAAAGGGGAGGAAATAAACGGGGGGGGGGGGGAACAATAACATCAATATACATTCGTACAATACCGATCGACTATAGCCACGTGGGTGGGTCGCGATGAGTATATATATATAGCTTTGCAACTTAACTTCTCCCCGTCGAAGCGATTAAACTAAAGTTTTTAATAACAACGTAAATTACATCTCCGAGTGTATCGTATATACACGTTCAGTCCTTCGAAGAGGGGTATACGTAGAGAATCACCCGAGCAACTATTACACGCGATATTGCACGGTAGCCGGCACCGGTGTATATGTTATACCTACACCGTAAATAAGCACAAAGAAGAATCGGCGGCTGTTTGTAGTGGTACGCGGTATATACATGGGTACAGGAAAGGGTCAGGGGGAGAGAGAGAGGAGCATGAAAAAACGCTAACGGCAGCTTCCCTGTGCTGCTGCGCGTATACGAACGGATGATCGAGGTTCTCGTGGCTGAGGTGTGCCGAGAGATCCTATTTTTTTTTTTTTTTTTTTTTTTTTGTCCACGAGACGTAGTAGCCCCCATGCTGTAGGTAATAGGTACAGCAGCGTTGCAGCGGCCAGCCATCACGTCAATTTGTCGAAATTCGTTCCGAATCGTTTTATGTCCGTGCCTCTATATACCTACCGTACGGCATCTCCTCTGTATATATACCAAGTCTTTCGTATCGGAGACGCGCGAAACACCTTTCGACCTCGGCTATGTGTTTGCCGTTGCGGGCTACCGTGCTCTCGACCTCCTTTACCGTGTACATCCTTCTCCTCTCGCTCAGCCTTCGTCTCGATACACCTTTTTTCCCGTAGACTCTCGCGTGATGAGTCCCATTCATTCGCCGTAAATCTGTATGCGTCCACACTCGCGCGTCTGTCGTATATATATACACACGCGCGATACCCGGGATGCTGGTCTCTTTCTCTCTCTCCACAGACGTATACCCTTCCGAATTTTTGACGAAAATTTATGTCGGCTGACGCCGTTTATGCGATGCCATCGGTTATAAACGTTGTTTCGCCCTCGGCCTGATGCCGGCCGTATACATATGTGTATAATATGCCTGTAGCTGTTACACAGCCCCGTGATTTATGCCGATCCCTCTGTGTGTGTATACTCGGATCTGGAATTTTTTAACCACGTTTCTATGATCGACTGTGCTCAGTTTTTTTTTTTTTTTTTTTTTTTTTTTTTTTTTTTTTTTTTTCATTCATTTTACGTACGAGGTATGCGATTTAGGTAATTTATTTTTTTGTTTTTTGCTTACCGGGGTAAATTAAAAAATTCTTCCACGTTGATGAGTTTTACAAAAGATTACCGGAGAATAATAACAAAAATATTCCGTTCGAGAAGCTTAAAAGTAGACCAAGGATGGAAATACATCGAAAGATGCTGCTGTTTTATCTACCACAATAGAGTTGCGTCGTCGGTCTAATCTTATCTTATCCCTGCTTGATCCTCCTAATGTAATAATACTCTTGGTATCTGTACATCCACGAGCAAGCATACGTGGGTAGGTACATGCATCCATTGCCTGCAGGTACATACGTATACCAGCTGAAGAAAAAAATCATCGGATAAATTTAACACGAATCCATACTATGCTCCAACAACGTACCTGTACGACATAGTCAACGCGTAGCTTTTCAAAGTAAAAAGTGCCATTCGGGTATCTACTACTCGGAATTTCGCCAAAGAGCTTTCGATCCAGGAGAACAATGAAATTTTTTATTCCCCGCGGCCTCTGGTCAAGAGAGCCGCCGTCAGCCGTTGAATCAGGCAGGGGCATATCTTTCCCTCTTTTTCCCGTGCGATGCTGCATGCACTTACACACCCGGCGCTCGGTTTTTTCGTTTCACCGCTTCACGCTGAATTTCGCGTCCTCCTGCGCAACGACGCACCATCGAGGCCTTCCCTCGTCCTAATTGCGTCCCCGTGAGCACTAACTGGAGGCGCTGGCGGGTGGAAAAAGTCCCCGTCGACAGGGTCCTTAAAATGCTAATTCCCGGCCGCGCAAACTAAGGTGCAGCTTGGCCGGAGAAGCAAAAAATTAATGCGCGCGTGTGCGCCTCGGACACTCCCAGCGTGCGTGTCCTTTTTACGCGCCGAGGATTCGTTTCTCAACGAGGAGAAGGAGGAGGATGATACAGATAGAAATAGGAGGTTGAAGCCGCGGTCACACTTTACGCGCTGATGACAAAATATGTGGGCTCTTGAGGGGACATTCATCGGTGGTTAATTAACTTTACCCTTTTTTTTTTTTTTCGCACTTGTATCGCGTATGATCGAGTGTAATGAGAATTTTTTTTGTTTCTTGTTTTCAGACACCCCCTGTTCCCGCTGCTCGCGCTGATATTCGAAAAGTGCGAGCTGGCGACGTGCACGCCGCGCGAGCCCGGCGTCGCGGGTGGCGATGTGTGCTCGTCCGAAAGCTTTAACGAGGACATCGCCGTCTTCTCCAAACAGGTAAGAGCCATACCTTTTCTTTAAATATAATTTACATATATCGTTACTACTTAGCGCATGCACATTTGTCTTGTTATCTTGATTTTAATAATCACTTACCCCCAAATCATACATGGAATCAATACTGTTTACAAGATGTATACATGTAACTGAATTACTAACATATGTAACTTGATGCACTTGACCCTTGTGCAATTGATTTTCAATTGAATAAAAGGGCCTTTGGTCCCAGAACGTCAAATACTTTTTTGCTGGCAATGTAAACTATTTTTTCACGCTTAGTAGACCAATGTTAAAAAAAAAAGAAAAAAAAAAAAAATGCGTATGTACTGACCACCAAATGCACTAGTATGTCCAGTTAGCCGGGAAGAGTCGATGAAATTTCCAGTTTGTCCGTATACCCAGACAAGATCGACAAGAATCGCGCGACGAAGCGCGTAGTCGAGTCTACAAGGGGGCGCGTTAAATCGGTCATTCCGGGAAATGATTGCCGGGCAGCGGGCGTTTTCACGCTCCCGGATTAGTGCAGAGACTCGAGACCCGAGAGGAATGCGAACAAAAAAGGGACACCCAGTGTCCGAACCGAGAGAAGATCATACACGAAAGGGGCCTGAGACGAGTATAAGAGAAAAAGGAGTGGATGTATATATTTACGTATAAACATGACGAGGCGGTGGTGGCGGCACGCGTTATACACACTATTTTAATAAAATCCCAGGCTCCCCTGACAATTCCAAAGCGAACGGTAGGTCGCGCGGAAGGGGGGAAGATATTCATCGAAAAATCTTAGCTCCGCCACATTCCTAGCCCGTATACACCTATACCCGGTATATATTTCTCACTGTCATGCTCGCCGGAGCTTTGCCCAATACACCTACCTATGTACATATATATATATATATATATATACATCGTATGTACACGTGCACAATGTCATCCANCGCCAATTAGCAATTATTTATATATATATATACCGCACACGTGTATTATAACTATACACGTTGTAAAAGGTATGCGTACCAACGCTCTGGCTTTCGTGCAAGAATGCCTTCTACGTGTATACCTACATCGTGTTCCTCGAAGCACGCAGCGGCTCTAGGAGGCTTTCTGAAATTTGACGGGAAGCGATCATAACGCTGATGGCTCTCGTGAAAGTCCCGAATTAATTTCGCTCGAGGAATCCGTGCCAGAGCTCGTTACGAAATCAGTGTATGGTATTTCCTTTTTTTTTTTTTTTTTTTTTTCCCGTGCGATGATTTGTACTGCCTTGCCGGGCAGCCTGATTATAATTGAGGGGACGACCCGCGGGTAATTCTGGCCGCTGTGGGAATAAAGGAGGCATCGAATGACAGCCGCTAACAACATCCCCGTGTGTTTCGCCGGTAATCTTTGGCTGGTTACTTTGTGGCCTGTAAAATTGTAAACATTGTTTCAACAACACATATACCCACCAGCGCTTCTCTCGCGCGACGACGACGCCAATAAAACGTTAATGGCTACCCCCCCCCCCCCATCTCATGAAAGTTACTGCCGGATTTAACGCCTCGGTTTATTTTCCCAAATAAGGCGCAATTGTGCTTCTGGTGATAATTCTCTTTCTCTCGTTTTTTTTTAATTTTTATTTATTTATTTTTTTTTTTTTTTTTGGTCTTTTATCAGAGAATACGGGTATCAAGTGTGTGCCGTACGTGCGTGCGTGTCTTTAATTTTACCTTCAGGCAGGCCTTTCTTATCGAAATTATCTCGTAGATTTTAATCATCGACTTTGCATTAAATGTTGAATACCCACACGTATACCTGCCATCGTGGTAATCAAAGATGATACTTTTTTTTTTTTTCGCGTGTATATATACACACGTTTACGTGCCAGTAATTTATTTTTAGCCTATACGACGACGATCTCGTGTATTCATCAGCTTACGCTGGTGTCCAATATTTTTCGATGACTGGCCAGTACCTGTAACGTTATTTTTGTTTTTAATGAGAGAAATTGACCAGTTCGAAGGCTAGTGTCTGTACCTAACTTTTAACAAAACATATTGACGAGTAAAAAAAAAAAAAAAAAAAAAACGAAATCGTGGAGGATCGGGTACGACGTGTTTCTCACATGGAGTGTATGTCACTGCTGCCAAACGAGGCAGACGGACTATCTCGGGATCGAAAATCTCGCGCCTTCGTTTTCGGCCTTTCTATCTCGTTCGAGATTCATATGTGATGCCAGCGCCGGTAGTATAGCCAAGGCCCTCAAGGACACCGGGGGTAATCGGAGCCACATGGCCCCATGCCGCGCGCAAAACTATTTTTCGAAGGAGCCTTTTAAACACGAGAATATTTATATACCTAGACCCTTGCTACCCGCCATCCTCGCATTTCATGGGACTTGAGTGCCCGCCCATGTCCACGTGAGCCGCACATGCATATACGGTGGGGGGAAAGAAAAAGCACGGGGTATAAAGAGCACCATGGGTCCGGGCACGGAGAAAGAGTGAAACTTTTACGTTCGCATCGCTAATCGATCTTTCGACACTTGCTCTCTCGTGTCTGATGTCTACGAGCTGGACCAGCTAGGTCGGTTTTTACGAGTGTTTTATTTTGTACTTGGTGCACACACACACTCGCACGTAATTGCCTTAATAGCGGTGTGATTGTGAGTAACTGTCGTAGCGTGTCACGGAGACAGTTGTTTTTTAATTTTTCTCGGGCACGGTGTTTTTTTTTTTTTTTTTTTATTGTACGAATCGCTTGCCGTACATACAAATTAGCCGCGCGACCTTGATACTCAATTCGCGTCTTTTTTTTTCTTTCGTTTTTTTTCCCCTCTTAATTAGTCCCAGGCTTCTCCTGTTTAACCCAAAAAGATAATAGTACTAATAAAGCGAGCACAGTTTGACGGCCGAGTGTCTTTTGCTGGGAGTCCCGGTTGAATTTTAAAAAGCCAAAAGGTACGATAAAAAGGCTTTCCGAGCTTTCTCTGACTGCGTACGAGCTCTAGTCTACTCTCCTCCGGGAGATGGAATAGCTCTCGGACCTGTAATATCGAAGGAAAGTCGAGGAAAGCGGGAAATATACGCGCTTCATGAAAAATCCATCCACTATCGGATGCGTTTTTTTTCTGTACAACGCAATTGCAAAATAAAAAAAAAAAAAACTGTCTCTGCGAGTTTTTTTTGCAATACATTTATGCACAGAAATTTTTTTACTTCATTTCTGTACTTGTTGGAATTTTGATAAAGGATCAATCTAAAATCAGCCTCTCGGCAATTGCGTCACGCAGAAAAAAAATTTTTTTTTACTAAAAACAATGCGCGATATTTATTGTGTTTCAAGCAAAAAAAAAAAAAAAAAAAACATAGCACTCTCGTGTTACGTGTATAATAATGTAGGTTAAGATATTCAGCACAAACAATTATTGTGTAAATTAGCACGGTGCCGAGATCATCGAGATAAGTTAGTTACATATACCCGTACAATGTAAGCAGAGCTTTAAAAAATGAAAAAAAAAAAAAAAAAAAAAAAAAAAAAAAAAAAAAAAAAAGAAAAAAGAAAAAACAACGACTACCGTGTGCCGTTGAACGTTTTTTCTCCGTCATAAACGAAAAAAGCCCGCCTATACACCTCACATAACTCCGGTGCACCTATTGACACTTGCGTATATTTTTTTTTTGCATTTCGGGTACACACACACACAAGGAGAGACGAAACTCCCCTTGGAGGCGCAAGTTGGAGCGATCTAAGGCCGCGTAATTTATGCGAGGCACGTCCGGACGCCGACGAGAGATCGAGCGAGGACGACGCCAATTAGCAATTATTTTCTTCCTCCTCGGCTCGCGGGCTCTATCTGCCATTAATCAAGCACGGATTAAACACGTGTCGACGAGTAACACGCGTTGTTGTCGTCCCGAACCAAAACTCCTCCCCCTCCCTCTCTGTTCTTTGTACGTGTGCACTCGCGTACCAACTAACACCACACCGAAGCTGCACAGCGGCCAAGTAATCGCTACGTGTAATCAAAAGAGAGACCAAGCGTATACGAATTCTCCTCTCGGTACCTCATATATATGTATACATCGCATTGTAAACGTTACTCCGAGGCGACAGTCTCTGGTGGCGGCGGAAATTTTTTTTTTTCTCTTCTTCTACGCTTTTTCGTCTCGCGTGCACACCACCAACAGACGGGCGTAATTATGGCAGCCGAGGGCTTTCGGAATGCCGGTAACACGGGTAGCTGAGGCCATATATATGTGTGCGCCGCCGCCGCCACGCCGGAGATAGCGATAACAGTTAAGCCTCCGCTCTTTCCTCCTCTGATGCGACTCTCTGTGCTGCGTGTGTATGACTTACCTTGTGCGATGCCGACACCGACACCGCCCTATAGGAGTCGGATAAAACGAGTGTACTCGCTTCGGTGTATACTTACTCCTCTTTGGATCGTTTGGCCCCGGAGTTTGGTGACACCATGCGTTTGGTGCTTGAAGTGGTTCGATGACAAATCGATAGGGATATAAGGATATTCGTTGTGTTTGGATGGACAAAATATACTACCATTACATTTGTTGCAGATTATTGGTGATTCTTTGTGTAAAGAACAAGCACCATCGCTTGACTTTTACATCATAAGTTTTAAACTTCAAATTAAATAACAAACTTATTCCGATATTGCTATTTTAAGACCAACCGTACAACGACGTATTCAAACATTCATTAGGTTCAGGATAAATTTTTTTTTTTTCATCATTAAATCATACAATAACGCCATCGACATAGTTGATCGATATAATAATTATTTGATTCAAGCAGTAAGTAGGTAGCGCGGTTCTATAAAAAGGATTACAACGACCACATAATTTACTATCGATATTGATTAGGTGTGTATATATTTTATATTAGTGCAAGTATATCCATACACCTCAATTATAATAATTGCTATCTACGAGTAATTTAGCAAAATGCATTATAATCGTTACCTATAAAAGTAAATTTATTTTGCTCAATTTATCAAG